ATCTTATAAGCTCTGCTTCTCATCCCTGGCGATAAAAAATAAAATAATTACAAAATACAGAATTTACCTTTTGCCGCTGTTTCTTAGCAACTAAAATCTAGCCTTGGACGGCTTCCCTAATTGTAAGGCTGTCTCTGTAAGGAAAGCTCCTGGACCAACATTTTGGACTGCTGGAGAGGCATGCGATCACGGGCAGATCTTCTCCTCTGATTTTGCTAAGAAGTATTGAGTTCTCTGCTTTATATACAGTGCTAGAATAGGGATGTAAACTTCATAAATAGTACTAGGGTAGAAACTGCTATGTTCTTTTCTTTATCAAGGACCATGAGGGATTTGCAGGAGCTCTCCATACTGTTATTGCAACAATAAGAACACTTACTGTCTTGTGTAAATTGCCCCATTTTCGCTTAAATTGTTCAGTTTGTATAAATTCTACGGGTTTGTGTAGACTAGGATGAGTTCTGTTTTGTTTCCTAGACAATGAAGAATCTGACACTTTGGGTGGGTTGTTTGTGTCTTTCTTAACAGTCAGCCTGTTCTTTTGCGATTGCTGTTGTGGAAGGCTTTGCTCATGGGGGAGGGGAAAGGCATGAACTTGTGCAAATGTGATTTGTATGGGGATAAAGTTGGTGGAGAAATGCAGGTGACTTCATTGTCAAAAGTCATCCAGTTGGGGAAGTGAGATGTGGTTTTTTTTCTTAATCTGCTTTCTGCCCTCCAAGCAATTCTCATCCCTTCCTCGTCTCCATCTTCCTCTTCCTCTTTCTTTTTTTAATCTGCTTTCTGCCCTCCAAGCAGTTTTCCTCGTCTCCATCTTCCTCTTCCTCTTTCACACACTGTGTGTGTGTGTGTGTGTGTGTTTTCAATACAAGGTGCAAAAGGAGAGGGTCCCTTGCTTTCATTTCCACTGGTAAGATGGAGGAGAGTGCGAAATTGCACGCTCTCCTTCTCTGCATGCCCCACTCCTTTTTCTATGTCTCCTCCCTCCCTCCCTCCCCCTCTCCAAAGTCGGTGAAGCCTAATGGGAGTGCAAAGGACAGATGGGTCTGTCTGCTTTTCATTGGCTGCTTTTCTTCCCCTTGCACCACCACGCTCTCTCTTTTTGTCATTTGGATTCAAGGATCACAACAAATGACATATCACTCCTCCCCACCACCACCACAACTGACCCTATTTGGATCACACCAACCCGAAAGGGTCAGTCTGGACATGCCCTTATAGTTATGGTGTGTAAAAGACATCATCTCGTAGGTTGGTTTTATAGCACCACCTTCTGGTCATACTCTTAAATAACTTTGATCGAACAAAATTCATGTTTGTGGGTTTCTAGGTGAGGAAGGAGTATGACAGACAGCAAAGGCCTTGATTTACACAGTAGGAGGAAACAGAATTGCTACTTGGAAAATGGCTTCCACAAGGTCTGGGTCAGAGCGGCAACATATGCAGATTGCATGTCTGGTGCAAATAGCTCCTTCTACCAACAAACACCACACCTCCACGAGGTCTAGATGGCACAGGCGTGGGAATGAACCACATGGTCCAGCCTCTACCATATGTTGCCTGCTTACTTGTTGCATATATTTTAGCGACACTGTATCATTAACCAAGTGGACTTTGTTTCTCCCCGTTTTCCATTTTTGGCTGCAACTATTATTCTCTAGGGTAAAGTTTGAATAAAGTCCAGGGTCACAGAGATGGGCCTCAATGTATTTTTCTAGAACAAATGTATTTAATTCTTCATCCAGTGGCTTCCAGGGCACTTAAAACACTTACAGAAAAGACAGATTTTTTGAAATAGTAGCCTTTTCTATAACATCCTTTTAACTGAGGGAATAATTCATTGCCCAGATTTTTGGGACTTCCGTTCCCATAAATAAGCCTTAGCCACTATGGTAAGGAATTGTGGGAACTGGAGTGCAAAGCCTGCTGAGAGCCCAAAGGTTTCTCATCCATGTTTGAGGAAGGGTTACAATGGCACTTTGGAAATTCATTTGTTGGGCTGCTCACCCAGAAAGCAAATGAAACTGGCGGACGCTGAAACTTGAGCAGGTTTTGCAGGGAGACCCATTTTTGCTTCCTGAAAATGAATGAATTTCCTTCGCAAGGCATCAGCAATTTTCTTCAAGCATTAGAACTATTCAGCATATCATTTGGGAACCCCTTGAAGGTTTCATAAGAAATGCTAGGGTGGGGGTGAAATGAGGGCTTTTCCTGCTGACCTGCTTGTGCAGTTGCAGCTGAAGCAGAGTCGCGTACAGTACTTTTAGCAAGTGGAGATTCTAGTTTTGTGGCATCCTCTGCTGACTGGCCTTGTCTGATTTGGGCAGTGTCCATAGTCAAGTAGTGCTGTGGTTCCTAATCTTGGGTCCCCAGATGTTCTTGAACTACAAGTCCCAGATATTCTGGCAAGCACAGCTAGTGGTGAAGGCTTCTTGGTATTTTTGTCCAAAAACATCTGGGTTACCCAATGTGGGGGACCAATGAGCTAGAGTACTGCTGTTTCCATCACTATGTCTTATCTGCTGTCAAGTTGGAACAACCCTAAAACAGCTTCTAAGCCAAGCGAGATATCTAAGGAATGGCTTGATCATTCCTTTAGAATGGATAGGTTTGTTCTCCTTGCAGTCCAGGGGACTCTCAAGAGCCTCCTCCAGCACCACAATTCAAAAGTATCAGTTCTTCGGCGGTCACCCTTCTTTATGGTTCAGCTCTCACTTCCATATATCACGACAGGACAAACCATAGCTTTGACTATTTGGACTTTTGTTGGCAAGGTGATGTCTCTACTTTTTAAGATGCTGTCGAGGTTTGTCATAGCTTTCCTCCCAAGAAGCAGGCGTCTTTTAATTTTGTGGCTGCTGTCGCCATCTGCAGTGATCATGGAGCCCAAGAAAGTAAAATCTGTCAGTGCCTCCATATCTTCCCTTCTATTTGCCAGGAGGTGATGGGACCGGTGGCCATGATCTTGGTTTTTCTGATGTTGAGCTTCAGACCGTTTTTTGCAGTCTCCTCTTTCACCCTCATTATGAGGTTCTTTAATCGCTCCTCACTTTATGCCATCAGAGTGGTACCATCCGCATATCGGAGGTTGTTGATATTTCTTCCGGCAATCTTAATTCCGGCTTGGGATTCCTCCAGTCCAGCCTTCTGCATGATGTATTCTGTATATAAGTTAAATAAGCTGGGGACAATATACAGCCTTGTCGTACTCCTTTCCCAATTTTGAACCAATCATTTGTTCCATATCCAGTTCTAACTGTTGCTTCCTGTCCCACATATAGGTTTCTCAGGAGATGGATAAGGTGGTGAGGCACTCCCATTTCTTTAAGGACTTGCCATAGTTTGCTGTGGTCCACACAGTCAATAAAACAGAAGCAGATAGTTTTCTGGAACTCTCTGGCTTTCTCCATACTCCAGCGCATGTTAGCAATTTGGTCTCCAGTACATGGTGCCTCTCAAAACTACTTGTCTTCTATTCCCTAGCCACTCCCATCCATTTCTTTTGTCTTTTTCCCAGGAATATAATGGCTGATCTTTTTTCTTGTCAGTTGTAGTCATCTCGGATCCCTTCCAGATATCTGTCCCATTGTTCTTGCTCTGCAATTTTTTTTCTTGTCAGTTGTAGTCATCCCATCCATATATCTGTCCCATTGTTCTTGCTCTGCAATTACAATAGGACCACTGTATCTGCAGGGGTTCGGTTCCTGTTCCCCCACCCACAATGCCAAAAAAGCAGAAGTATCAAATGTTACACATTGCATGGTTTCTGGTTCTCTCGTTGCCAGTTCAGGCAGTGGATAAGTGAATCAGTGGATTCTAATCTCACAGATAAGGGGTCCTACTAAAGCACATTTGACATTTTGATGCTGATACACCTGGTTTGGAGAGATCAACCTGTAACTGTTAAAAATTTCCCCATGACATATCTTTTATGACAATAAATAATGTGGTGTCATCAACAAACCTGATTGCTCTAGTGCTCATTTTGAAATATAGATCATTTATTTTTTCTTTTTTTAAAAAAAAACTTTAAAAGGAGCAATCCCTGAAATGCATTGGTGAATCCTAGATCTTGCACTCTCGTTCTGAGAAGTGTCTCTTGATCACTATGCTCTCCTTCCTCTTATTCAGCCACTGTCCCTTGACACTGTGTCTTCTGTGCTCCAGCAAGATACCATGCTCAATACATATGTTTCAGAGTGCATGTGCCCCCCTCAGGCAGTGGCAGCTGGTGCTTGTCGTGGTTGATGTGGTGGAAGACACAGCAGGTGGTGATGGGGAAAGCCAAAATGCTAGCCTGCTGCTGCTTTCATCTTCTCTCCTCCTCCTCTATCTCTCATTCAGTCTCATCTTATGGATATATCTAACATGGAGGTATTTAGAAATCAAGAACACGATTGTGTCACAGAATATATTTCTGTAAGTCAAAGCCAATTAAAGTTTGCTAAATTGTAATGAGTCTGCTTTGTGAGTTACTTTCTAAGTATTTGGGTTGCTTGTCACTTATACTTTTCTGAGGCGAAAAACCTGACAAGTAGTCAAATATTGCTAACAGAGTAGAGAGTTTTATAAGGAAAAAAAATGCAGATTAGCAGATAGTGCTGTGTCTTCTCTCTTTTTCTCTGAGATTGTGTGTGTTTCAGTTGTCTGTATAGTAGAATCATATATTCTGCTTCCAAGAATCTGAATATATCTTACCAGACACCAGCAGGGGATATCAAAACTAAATAGAAAGGAAATCAGAATGCCAGTAAGAGCTATTGGAAGGAACTTCTTTTATTTCCATATGAATCCTACCAATTGTTTTTCTAACATGAAAGAGATAAAAGAGAGTTAGTATGTCTTTTCCCCCTACAGAAATCTTCTGAAAGTTCTCACATATTTTCATACTTGCCTTACATTGTAATCATTATGTACCTAGTTAAAATGATAGCGGTGATTGTGATTATGTAGGTTGTGTATTATGGTAATAATGTCCTCTTTCCCTCCTTTTTCTTTAGACAACTCCTCATCTCTTCTGGAAGATGAAGAGCTAGGTATGGAGGCCACCAGCTGGCAGCCAAAGAGCCCATCGATTAATGGCCACAGTGAAACTCCAACAACATCTCGTTTCCCCAGATGGGTGACTTTTGATGACAATGAAGTCAGTTGTATTTCTCCACTAGCTTTATCCCCTGTGAAACCAGACCCCCCAACACACATAACAACTCCTCCTCCACCACCACCCACAACAACAACAGCAGCAGCACAGATCATCGATGTAAACTCTAGTACTCTCTCTTCATCCTTTAAAAAAAGGGATCGCCCCAAAAGCGCACTGAGTGACCTCTCTAAGGTTCAGAAACTAGACCTTTCCTCAATAACCAGGCTGCCTTCTGCGAGCGGGACACCCCCTTGGAGTGCTACAAATCCTTTCCTTGATGAATCTCTGAGAGATGTTCAACCTTCCCCTATTAATCCATTCAGTTCTTTCTTTGAAGAACGAGACAGACGCTCCCAAACCTCCTCTGCCTCTGGTGCCCCTGGGAGAAAGCAGCGAGATTCTCTCATTATTCTCCATCAGGAGTGTGACAGCATCAGTTTCTTTGAGGCAAATAAACATCTCAGGCACAGAGATGCAGTAGAGCAACTCAAGCAGCTCCAGATTGGAGACCCAGATCATTTGAGCACTCCTGTCCTACCCGATGATGACCCCACCATGCCAACTGAATTGGACAGTACCTTCTCCAGTCTGGGACCACATCAGCGAAAAGATGGCTGGCTGATGATGCTGAGGATACCAGAAAAAAAGAATATAATGTCCTCTAGACACTGGGGCCCTATATATGTTAAACTGACTGAGAGTGGGAACTTGCAGCTCTTTTACGAGAAGGGACTGGAGAAGCCTTTCAGGGAATTCAAGCTTGAAATCAACCATGAGATATCAGAGCCCAAGCTTCAGAACTATGATGAGAATGGAAGGATACACAGTGTGAGGATAGACCGCACCACCTACAAGGAGAAAAAGAAGTACCAGCCAAAGCCAGCTGTCTCTCACACAGCAGAGAGGGAACAGGTAATTAAACTAGGCACCACTAATTATGAAGACTTCCTCAGCTTCATCAAGGCAGTCCAGGATGCACTGATGGATTTGCACGCTTCTTCTACGGACCTGAGCATGGTGGGGTTAAATTACCAAGAGGAGGAAATCACTGTGGACGTAAAAGATGAGTTCTATGGCATCTTGGCCAAAGGGGATAACAGGATTTTGCAGCAAAATGTGTTGACGCATGTGCATGTTCTCACTTTCCTTTCTGGCTTGGCAGAATGCAGGCTGGGCCTCAATGACATCCTGGTCAAAGGGAATGAAATTGTCTCACGGCAGGACATCATACCCACCACCACCACCAAGTGGATTAAACTGCACAATTGCCATTTCCATTCATGTGTGGATGAGGAGGCATTTGCCACTGGCCGCATCATTCTCTTTAATCCCTTGGATGCCTGCCGGTTCGAACTGATGCGTTTTAGTACTGTGTTTTCCGAAAAGACATTGCCCTTTACTTTGAGGGTGGCAGCTAACATCAATGGTGCTGAGGTGGAACTTCAGAGCTGGCTCATGATGTCACAAGGGTTCTCCTCCAACAGAGATCCTTTAACTCAGGTCCCCTGTGAAAATGTGATGATCCGCTACCCAGTGCCTCAGGAATGGGTGAAAAATTTCCGCCGGGATAGTGTTCTCGGGGAAAAATCCTTGAAAGCAAAGGTGAACAGAAGTGCTAGCTTTGGATCCACCAGCATTTCTGGTTCTGAGCCAGTAATGAGAGTAACACTAGGAACGGCCAAATACGAACATGCCTTCAATTCCATTGTATGGAGGATAAATCGACTGCCTGATAAAAACTCTGGTGGGTACTGCTGCTTAAATGGAGTAATCTAGAAAAAAATGTTGAATTTATTAGAGTACCTTGCAATAATGCTTAACATGGTGACTAAAAATGTCAGAAGCAACATTCCCTCTAATTTTCCACCAGCACCGAGCAAAACCATCACAATGTTTTGGAGGCAATCAGAACCAAATGAGCAGCAAAACTAACTGCTGGTGCATTACACCAATACAGCACTGTGCAGCTGTGCAGTTAGAGGGAATGTTGGTCAGAAGGCAGAGTTCAGGGTTTTTGGTTTTTTTTGAAAGGAAACACATCTGACAAATGAAAGGCACAAAGGAAGAGTTTACTCAGGGGAGTTGAGGGAGCAAAGACTGATTTTTGTCCCCCTGCTTTTAGGAGGAAAACGCTAAGGTGTAGTATTACCATTCTCCAGCATTAAGTAAAAATAAGACATAATGAGATTTTCTAATATTGTAAAACAGGCTTTGTAGATGCCACCATAGTAGTGCTTAGTTCTCACTGAAGTAGTAGACAAATGTGTTGGCTAAATTACTTGAGACCACAGATGGAAATTCATATTTTTGGAAGTTCACATGAGTGAAGGCTCTAGAGACAAAACAAATGAAAACCTCCAAATGTAGAAAACTAGAGGGAGAAGAAAAATATTGGGTTAACTTTAAATCCTTTGCCTTGATATCTTGTTTTCTAAATAGAGCTAGGGTGGATTTTGTTGGTGGAAGCAGTGGTTGTTTTTGTTTTACATTCTTTCTTTGTATGGGGAAGTATTTAATTATACAAACCTCCACCAACACTTTGAAGGAGCTCAGCTCAGGCATAGATTTAGTGCCCAAGTGAGAAAATAGACCTAAATTAATACCACTTACTTTGAATACATTATTTGTCTACTTTGCTATAAAATTTGAAAAGACCCCCCCTCAAATGAAGTACTGTTCTGTTTAATGAGACTTGACTACATTATGCAAAAGATTGGTACCCTTGCACTAATTAATGTGAATTTCTGGCTTCTCATAAAATTTGGTCTAGCTTGGATCTCACTAGTCTTGATTTTATGATAATCCGTGAAAGTACAAGTTGCCCTTTGCTAAAACAAGGCGAGTGTTGTAATTGTGCAGCTGTCTTTTGTTGTGCTTGAGGAGCAGCTGTTTTTGTGTGTCACAAAAGTGGTCACACATGCACACTATGCCAAGCTGGTCTGGTGCAGTAAGATCAAGACTGTAAAATTGGATTCCGCTGAGAGCAGTGCTGTGGTTGTTTCAAGAACAGCTTGGTAACTTCTCTTGCATTTCCCTGATTCATAAGCAACATGTTGTTGCTGGCTGACAAAATAACCCTTGTTTTCACGCTGTGAGGAGCCTCAGTCCCAACTGGGTATGATTCAGTGCTTCTGTGCAAGAGTGTGCTTTGAAACCAGCCAATAGGCAAGCAGAACAAAGAGTGTTAAGAAAACAGTGATTCATCAAATATATTTTTGCCTTGACTGTGAGAAAGGCAACACAAACTGAGTGAGAACAGGACTTAAATTGTAACTTTGGGTCTGAATTTTGTAGAAATCTGGCACTTGAATGACATCAGACAAAACCAAGTGTCCCTTTCTCTGAAATGGGTGTTGCACATTGAGTATCAGAATCTGAAAGTCAGCTGTAAAGCACATCCCCTACAAATTTAATTAAAGTGCTTTTGTTTTGCTTTAAATAAAAATATAGAGGAAAAATTACAGAAGGCTAATGAAGTGTCCTAGTGGTTAGGGGAGCCATTAGTTGATCAGTCAGTTCATTCATTTAGTCCAGTGGAGGCAAACCTTTTTCAGCTCGAGTGCCCAAAATGAGGGGGTGGGGAAGAAACCAGTGGCTGCTCTGCCGCCCGGAAGACCAGAACCTGAACAGGAAGTGGCAGTTTCAGGGGGAATCATGGGGATGGACAGGAAGTTAAAGGGGGAATCATGGGGACGGACAGGAACAGAAAGGGGGAATCCCAACTGCAGCCACTTCAAAAGGTTTGTCGCATGCCGGAAGAAAAAGCTTCACGTGCCAGCTGTGGCACGCATGCCATAGGTTCACCATCACTGAATAACAATCCTACATTTACAAAAAGGAAGAAAAGGCTATATAACACCCCTCTTTTCCCTCTGCTTCAGTTTTCCTATCCTGTTTAATATCTCTGTCATGAAAAGTTGTTTTTATGTGTATATCTATTGTATGATTTTTAATGTTGTTAGCCGCCTAGAGTGGTCCTGACACGACCAGATAGGTGGGATATAAATAAAATAAATAAAATAAATAAATAATTATAGCTATTTAGAGGATGACTGGCTGGATAGCTCAGTGGTTTAGATGTCTGGTTGTAGAGCCAGAGGTTCAGGAGAAGGGAATGGTAAACCACTTCTGAGTACTGTCTATTGAAAAAACCTGAAAGGGATCACCTTAAGTCAGAACTGACCTGACGGCATGGTGCTGTTGTTGTCACTGTAGGGCATATTCTGATTCCCGGTCCTGGTCCTGACAGAGTAATAGCTTTTCTTACCCTCTCCATCTTGAAGGAGTGGGTGCACTGAGCTTTGTGACTCTAGAGAAACAATTTAAATTTTGTCCCTGAATTGTCCATGTTGAAACAGTACTTTGCTCAAACAGTACTACCAGTGCATACTAGATAAATGGCTTGTAGTGCTGCAGGTTAAAAAGCGCTGGTTTTCCTTTCCTTAATGGATTTTTTTTCCTGGCCAAAAAAAAAAAAAAGATGGAAGCAGCAGTCAGAGAATACGGAATAGTTGCAAGTGATAGATGGTGATATCTGAACACACATACAGTGGGGTCTCGACTTACGAACGGCTCGACATACGAAAGTTTCGACTTACGAACCACTCTCATAGGAATATATGGACTCGACTTACGAACTTAGATTTGAGTTACAAACTCTTTTTTTCCCTTTTTTAAAAAGCTAAGTCATCTTAGGTTAAAAGAAAAAAATATCCCCCTCTAGTGGCAGAAGGCGGAATAGCAGCTTCCCATTAGTTTCTATGGACGAAAAGAGCAGATACGGATTAAATGGTTTTCAATGCATTCCTATGGGAAATGCAGATTCGACTTAAGAACTTTTTGACCTGAGAACTGCCTTCCAATACGGATTAAGTTCGTAAGTCGAGACCCCACTGTATGTGCATAATATTCTATGGGTGAGATACTTAATTGAACAGTAAAAGGGCAATCCAGAAAGCCCTCTTAAATCTCAGTCCAATTTTTTTTCTTCCAGTTGTACCAACTGAGTCAATTGCTAAAAGTTAACTCATCAATTATGTAAATTCTATTGATGTGGTGGATCTATTCTATTTGGGACTAGAAGTTGGATTTAGGCCATAGTCTCTGAAATATAGTCCCCTATATTTTTATTTTATACACTATATTTTCAAGACAGCTCTCAGTCAATTAAAGCAATTAAATAAACAAAGTAAGCACCTTAAAACACTGTAAAACACGGCATAAATCAATTGAACAGAAAAAAAACTACTGCCACTCAGAAATATACCCCACCAAAAGAATGGTCCCTTTGCATAAGTCAGTGACATAAGAGATAAAAGATATAAACAGGATTTGAACTTTTCTGTCATTTAGAACGGCAGTTCCCAACCTTGGGTAATTCACATGTTCTTGGACTGCAGTTCCCAGAAGCCTTCACAACCAGGTGTGCAGGCCAAGGTATCTGGGAGGTGAAAAACACCTAGGTTATTCAAGGTTAGGAACCACGGAAGGCCAAGGTTTCTGGGAGGTGCAGTCCAAAAAACCCTAGGTTATTCAAGGTTAGGAACCACGGAGTTAGAAGGATCACATTTATACCTGTGCCATCCTTCAGGTGGGCTGAGTGTCCTGTCTCCCAAGGCCAAATATCGCCACTAGCATCCATGCACAAAATTAAAAAGCTTTTCTTCTCCCTTCAAAAATGTCTTCAGTGAGATGTTGTAGGCAATTTTGTCATGTCCTCAGGGTTCCTTGCACACCTGCACACTTTTAAAAAAAAGTTCTCTGCCTTGAATGTTAATCAGTTTCAGAAGTATATATTCAGTTGAACTTTACTTCTGGAAGTCTCCTTTTCTTCACTCTCTTTCGCCACATGCCTCAACCATTAATGGGGCTGTATTAGTAGCAGAGAATTAGAAAGCTATGATCCTCTGTTGGTGCTGCTGACTGTTGCTGCTGCTCTGTGCTGCCATACTAAATGAAGTACTGTACCAATGTTCTGACATATGGAAATAATATTTAAAATTAATGAGTCGGTTTTATTGAATGAATGGATTTCGCTTAATGAATTGGTCTGAAAGAATAAGTGCCACATTTAGCGAATGTATAGCACTTCATGAACTAAAACAGCCCTTTAAAAATTAAAAGCTGGAATTTATTATGGTAATTAAGTATGTGTGCCTATATTTGAGATGAGGCGTTCTTGATTTTGATTTTATTTTTAACTGTTGGAAGAATAACATTTCTCTTTATTGCTGTGGAATCTCTTCTTTCATAACAGGGATGGGTAAACTGTCCCTAATTAATTTCATTATTCAATAAATAAATACTCAGTGATACTCCTTTCTAAATAAATAAGCAATGCAACCTTCCCATTTTGGCCACACACCTTGGGACAATAGCCCCTGAGCTACTGGCCAATCTGAAAAACAGCCCTGTCAGAATTACCTATTCCATTTTTATAGGTACATGTGGGCCTGCCAAGCACCCCTTTAAAACATTAAGCACATTTGGAGGATAAGGTGGTTGGCCTGTCAGGTTCCACATAATCCACATCTTTGTGCAGTATCAGAGATTGGCTCTATATACATCTTGGTATGATCCATATGGTGTTGTATCATAACAGATAGGAAGCAATGGCACCTGGTGCCCTTTGTGTTTGGTAAAGTGGTCTTGGTAGCCAGATAAGTGGTGTAAAAAAAAGAATGAATGAATGAATGAATGAATGAATGAATGAATGAATGAATGAATGAATGAATGAATGAATGAATGAATGAATGAATGGAGAGAGGGAGAGAAAGGCAGAGACAGGAACAGCAGAAGTGGGCAGAATCAGGGCTGACAGGCAGAGCCAGGAACAAATCACATATTCATACACATAAATGCAGGCAGACAAGAATTTCATATATATTTAGAACAGCAGGGAAATTCAGGTGGGTCCTGACCTCTGACAAATAATCCACATGTGCTAGAAAATCAAACAAGAACTTCCAAGCCATCAGCTTAATGTTAGCTGACCAATTTTCTAGGTACCTTTTCCAATCCAACATGACTTTGTTTCTAAATCCATGAAATAAAAAATGTTTTGTTTGCTTGTTCTTCAATACTGCCCCATTAGTGTTGCCACTCTCTGGCCATTTTGTAATATGCAATAAAAATATGCCAACACAACATAATAAATACCAAAAATGCAATTAATACAATTAATTAATTCATTTTTTAAATCTGATATGATTCTTAAAAGAGGCTTTCTAAGAGACTCTCAAGGGTTCTGCATTTACCATCTAGATGTCACTCAGTTGTAATACGTGGAAATCTCATGTAGTATGCATGTTTCTCCATAGAAGATTTGATATACTAAATGCACATGGTTATTAGTATTATAATATCAAATTGTTTTCGAGTGATGCTTTGCTGAGAGGTTGTTTGTGATCATTTTCTCAGTTGGATTTTCCTTAAGAGATTTTAATTTCCACATTTTTGCTGTCTCGCACTTCCTCCACATAGCTTCAGGTCATCCTCACTGCTTCTTCTGCCATCTGGAGCTTGGGTCAGACCGGGAAGTGCCTTCCAGTTTTGTCCACTATGTGGATGTGGAGTTTGACATGCCAACCACCTCAGCTTCCAAAGCCACCGTTCGGTCTATTTCTGTGGAAGGCAAGACAGATGTCAGGAAGTGGGTCAACTATTCAGCACACTACAGTTACAAGGTACAACTGAGCAGCTGATAAAGAGATCTGTAGACATCTTGTAGGGCAGGAGAAAAGGAGGAAACTCTTAACGCCTTTTGAAAACCCTTGATTTCACACTGCCCAGCCAGAGCTAATCAAGGGAGTATTCCCTGGCCATATTGAACGGTTGATTCTGGGAGTTATGCTCCAGAAAGATAACTTTTCCAAGTATCTCCTTCTAGAAGATCACTATGAGCAATCCAGTGGACAGTCTAATGGGGACTTGTGACTGTTTTCACTGGGATGGTAAATCTGTTCCCTTTTTTGTTAGAACTTATAAGAACCTAACCATGGTAGTGAACCTTATTTCCAAAATAACTTCAGCACTTACAAAGGTTCCTGTAAAATTCAGACTGCAGTCTAAAGTGGAGTCATCAACCTCATTCACCATGTTATCTCATTAAGGTCTGCTATTTTAAATTGTGCAAGAGTAGCATATGTCTTGCATGAAAAAGGTCTCCATGTCCAACTTCAGTAATTAGAAAAGCTCAATATGGTTCCTGACAGAGACCATGGAGAGCCATAGCCTATCATAGCATGCAGTATTGAGTTAGAAGTTACAAAAATGGGAAAAGTTACTTTGGGGGAATGACAATTAAGACTCAGGTGATTATGGGAGTTGTAGTCCAAACATGTAACTTTGCCCATAGTTAGATGGATCTACAGTCATACTCAGTATAAGTTATCTTTATGTGTTCATAAACTTGGCAAGGAAAGGAGAAATGCATCCACTACTCCAGACGTTTTTGGCTATGGGGATATTTTAATGAAGCAACTGCTGCATTCAGGGACTCATTAGCTGAGCTGCCTCTTGCTCTGTATTATATCCACTGGGTTTGAGGGATCTTTTCTGTTAGATGGAATATCCCAGCACAAGTTGTTTGTTTCCCCTCTTTCGCTGTTTTAGTTAAATTGCTAGAAATGGAAGGGGTTATATTTGGCTGGAGTCCACTTTGATTTAACAAATGAGATTATTAGGTGTTGGCCATTTGACAAATGGGATGATTAGATGTTGGTCCTTCTTTCTTTAGAGCAAGGGTGGGTAAGATCTGGGGAGCCAATTTTCCAGCCACAGGATCCTCTGCACCTCCAAATAAAACAGGAAGTAATCTGAGGGCCATATGTTTTTTTTAAAAAACTCACTTCCTGTTTTAAAAACACAGAGATGTCTTGCCTAAAACAATGTCCATTGTTTTAGACAAGCCTTGAAGGTGTGATCTTCCTGGCTACTTGCAATAGAAATTGCCCCAAATGTGGGATGTCTTCTGGGGGGGCACAAAAGCAGCCTGAGGGTGTTACATGCAGCTTTACAGACCACATGGTTCTTAACCTGGCTTCAGAACAAGCTGCAGTTGTCTAAGGACACTAGCAAACAGAAGTCAGATAGTGTTTCAATGATCTTGCACAACTCTCACTTTTCTTTCTTTATCAGGTGGAAATAGAGAAGAAAAAGAGTTTGAATCGAGATATGATGGGAGGCGACACTGATAACCCTGAGGACTGTGCTGTGCAGTGAAGGAGAAGTCTACCTGCAATTGGAACAATAAACACACCAGGAATTGTAGAAGCAGAAATACAGCATCTTGCTCCTATGTTTAGAGGAGCCATAAAGTCTGGAGGGCCATACAGTTTCCTTGCCCTCTATGACCTTATATAGAGAGGAACCTCATCTGAGATTTGTTTACAACAGCCTGGGAGAGCATTACGTACATAGGCTTATAATGTGTTCGACCCTGCCTTCGTTCCTAATTTTGATTTTCTTGCAGTGAAATAATGGCATTTTGATAGCTACAGCTTAAAAAAACATGTAGCCAATTTTGTCAACATGTGTTCCTTCTTTGCACTCGACACTTCCTAAAAACTGGGAATTCAGTCTTCAGAAGAGCTTTTCTAAGTCATCTAGACAATGGTGATGGAGATGGAGGTAGCGTAGAATCTCTTTCTTGTTGTATTTGCATCCTGCAGGTAAAGGCAGAAACGGCCTTTCCCTCTCAACCCATGTAAACGTAGAGTGGTTTAGGTTCTGTCTATGGAGCCAGAGGTTAGGAGTTTGATTCCCACTGTGCCTCCTTGACAGGGGCTGGACCTGATGATACAGAGGGTCTTTTCCAGCTCTGCAGTTCTAAGATAATGATGATGCAATCACTGGAAATTCCAGTAGGTGAAGGGCAAATAGTTTGACATTTCTGTCTGCTGTTATTAAGAAAGAACATTTAAATATTGCACTTCTTCCTTGCGTTTTAGTCACCAGAAGAGTTCCTTTGTTCATTTAGTCTGAGGCTGGGTCCAGGGTAATTCTTTAAACTTGATGCATTCATAGCTGCCAGTAGAAGGGCAAGGACTTCTGCCTTGTGATTCCTGCTTGGGAAAATACCTGGAAGAAATAGAATTAATTCAGACTTTTGCATGACCCTTAAGAGCACTGGATACAATTGGTTAACCAGTCAGTGTTTAATTAGCCAGTCAATGCTTCTTTGACAGACTACAGCTTATGTAGATGGGCATGATGGAAAGAAGACATACCACTGAATTTCTTAGATGGTGACAGTGCTGCTTTCATGTTTTGTCCCAGTACTATATCTTCATTTACAAAATCAGCAGTGTAACATATGTATGAGCTAGCAGTAGCAGGTGTTATTACTTTATAATATGCAAGCATAATATACTGGCTTTGCTGTCAGGCCTCTTGGATTTATGTTTCCATAATATGTTTCACACAGGTGCAGAAATTAACATCCAAAGACTCTTGGCTTTGGGGCATCAGAGTATTTAAAATCCAGAGTGTTCTAACTCATATGGTCTGAATACCTGAACAGGATGTTTAGTGCTCTGATTACCTTCCTATAGACGAAAGAAATGAAGTATTGTACTTTGCATAGTATATTCAGTCTATTCAGAATTTGTCTACAATTATTTATCCTATCCCAACCAATCCCTGCTTCAGGTAAGTTATTAAAGCCAATCTTCACTTACCTTGGCATGTTGTGGGATTTTTCCTAAATTAAAAAAAAAACACCACTGTGCACTGTGAGAAGGTGGGCAGTGGGAAACGTGGATGGTAACCATAGTCCAGACAGGAGAGTTTAATCACATTTATACATGCATACTCCCACTGCATGTTGTAATTCTTATGAGAATTGGCTCACCAAGCTGTTGTTTTATGTCAGGTAGATGTCATTGATCATAGTCAATTCCTGAGGTGAATAATGTGTGGATCAGAACTTCTAAGGGCAGCCATCTTTTATGACAACAGTGATTGTGGGAGGGGTGCTATGTTATGACATAGTCTCATTTGGACATTCTGTAGGACAGAAGTACTTGATGGTTTGCTAGTAGGCTTTCTATCCAGGATTTTCGTCTTCTGTATATAGAACAAGAATTGTAGGAAACACTCTGCCACTTTGTTGTATAGGCTTATCCCCATCCGACCCCGTAAAGATATTTAGTACCTTTTCAATGGCATTAAGAAAAATGAGGCAGCCTCCTCAGGTAGCAAATACTGGGTTACATGAAAGGGTAAGATTTGGTTGTTAAATTTGTTATTATATTTTTACTGCAAGGCATGAGGAGTTGTATTTATGGAATCTTGCCTCACATGCCAGATAACTTCACGTGCTTTGATATTATGCATCTTGGTATAGGTAAGTGCAGGAGTGCCATCTTCTGTTCTTCTACAAGGAGTCATAGTGTCATGGTCCATCTGTGTTCATCACCACCACCACAAAAATGTCAGAACTCTCCTTGCTTCTAGTGCACCACTTTTACCATGAAGCTGGAAAGGGGACATTTTGATATTTAAGTTAAATTTTTTTGCCTGTCTCTAGTATAACTCACTGAGCCATTGCACAAAGAATATTGCAAACTTTTATATCACACCGTCCTTGCATAGAGTTTGGAAAAGTTGATGTTTTGGAAAGTCAGACTTGGCCTTGTAGTCCAAAAAGATATTTCCCAAGCTCTCCTCTTAACAGATAAGGTCCAAATGAGTGCATGGAATGCTTCCTTAAGAAAAACTGACAATAGCTATCAACCTTGTGGTGAGGAAGCCAGTAATTGTTCCTCTCGGTGGTTCAGAAAGGGGCAGGAAGTATCAGTCTTCGTGCTCCTTCTGAACCACTGAGAGGAACAATCACCAGTTTTGAAGGGACATTTATATGTGCTGCTTGCTCAGAAGGAGGTGTTCCTTCTACAGCATCTGTTTGAGGACAAATGGGAAATACATTTGCATGTTGGTTCTGTCTAGATTGGTATGAAGCCTTTCCAGTGCAGTAACTTTGCACAGCTGGTGAACAGCCATCAAGTATTCCAGTGTTGTCTTAATATACATCGGCAGCCATGGCTTCATTTAAAATCTTGACCCCCTAAAGGTCTTCAGAATTGAATGAATCACAGACTTTACTGTTGTACAGCAGTATTTGAAAACACTTTGCTGGATGCCCTGTTGCGTGGACTCGATAGATTTATAATATATTCAGGCCATGTTTCAGCTGATCTTAAGATATTTTAATTGGATGGAGGGGATGGACATTTGAGAAAGTTACCTTTTAGTCATATGGGCCAGAAATTCTATTGTGAAATACTGCATTGTATGAAAGGGCAGTCATGCAAGCAGGTTGCACATTTTGCCAGCTACCGGTCAAGTGCCTAGGTGCTCAGCTAGTTGTGCAACCCAGGCATGATCAAGCATGCAATGGGCAGTTGGCTTGTGCAATTTATAGTTAACTGTGTGCTATACTAACAAGATTCTGGCCACTTAGCCCAAGTTATTAGGGTCTCAAAAGTTAAAAAAAAAAAACAGCACTTTTTCAACTGTACCGAAATGGCTATTTTCATACACTAATGGTTCAGGTTCAATGTTTTTCAAGCAAACAGCCACATTCAGGAGATATTCTCCTATATAATGCACTGCCGTTCTTAAGATTTGAAGAGCTCAAGTGTTAGTTAGCAGGAAAAGATATAAACATTAGCATTGGTAGGCCAAGAAGCATCTTGTTTTGAATGAACAGACGACAAGCCTGTACTCTTGACAAAGAGAGTTTTAAAGGAGTATCAGTGTTGCAGAAGTGTACCACTTTGATACCATTTTAACTCTCGTGGCTTCATTCTAAAGGATCCTGTGATGTTTAATTTGGCAAGACACTGTTAGAGAGCTCTAGTACATCCCCATGCACTACAGCACTAAAGCTCTGTCTCACAGAGAATTCTAAAAGCTGCACCACAGTCCTAGATTCCTCTAGCAAACTGCAAGCTGGGTAGACTATGTACACATTCCTTCTGTGGACTAACCTTCAAGAGTCATGTTCACGTCCAGTCCAGTGTTCCATGGAGTTACAGGCTGTTAAATAGGATGTTTTTTTCCCCTACTTGCAGACAAAAGCATTGAATGATTTTGCTAGCTGGGCAGGAATGGGTGGAATCCTCAATCTGTTGTGGGAATAACTCTTTGTCTTTATGCTCTTTCTCTTAAAGCAGCCTTAAAGGCCTTGTCATGATAAATAAAAAGGGCTTCTGTTGCTTCCTGCCTGTTTTTCACTGCCTCCATAAAAAGAAATATTTCATATTCTGTTGCACTACTGTGACTGAGTGTTTTTTTTACCTATTTTGTAACAGGTTTCTATCTTTTGATGTTGTACTATGAAAGAGTCTGTACACTGGCTGATTCTTTATATATTTTATTGTGAACCCCTCCCCGGCTGCTGGCAAATTCTCAGAGATATGCCATTTTGCATTTAATTATGGGAGGAACTTTGAATAAATGCAGATGAAATCCTACATTCACAGAAGCCATCTCTTTGTTGTTGCATGACTTTATTTTTCTATTTATATACGCCATACAAGGAAATCTTGGTCTGATCATTTTCAGTTTATAAATCACTTGTGGCAGATAGTTTGCAAATCAAAGGGACATCAGCCTCCATTTGCTTCATTTTGGTCCAGGGTGGATAAAAATTGATGATTTTTGACAATCCAATTAATTTAAATGATTTTTTTAAACATTTAAACAATCAAAAATATAAATTTTAAATTTAAATCTTGATTTCAGTCAATTTGATTTAAATCAAATCCACCCTGTTCTGGTCCAAAAGGAACTAAATTATCAGGCTGAATTGTTTGGTGTAGCTGGCACGGTAGGCGTCTTCTCCTTGCTGCATCCTTGCTATGGAGCTGCCTCCCCCAACCAGTTCATCACCATTCAGTGTTCTGCTTCAACCACACCTACATAGCCAATGGTAGACGTTATGGAGTTGTATCCTGTTTTAAAAAGCCAGAAAATTCAATTATTCAAAAAGCCTCCTGTTTATGAATGTGGGATGTTGTGCTTCTGTATCCATGGTTCAAAAAGCCAGAAAATGCCTTGATATTGCAGCAGAAATAAATGTGCCAAACTACGTAGCAAAGGTGTGAGGGGGTGCAGGCGTTCAACTCTGTTGAGCCACATGGTCCCAGCCCCAAAATAGGAAGCAGCTGGGAAGAAGGTGAATTGCCTCAGGATCAAGCTGGCTGGAAGGCGTCCCACTCTGCAGCTGCAGAAGATATACTGTCTTGATGAGAAAGCTTTCAGAGGCAGCTTTCTAAGGGAATAAAAGCAGAACTTGCAAGGCAAGGGGTCAATGCCTATCTTGGAAGAAGAGGATGTGTGGGAGGGTGCCAGAAGCTGTCTACCCTCACCAGGTTTATTGACTTGTGACAGGAGCCAAGCACCAGAGATGCCAGTTACACACTTGGACAAGGCTATGCTATCCTGAAAGGTGTGGGACGTGGTGGCGCTGTGGGCTAAACTGCAGAAGCCTCTGTGCTTCTGTAGATCTTCAGCTGTAAGATTGAATCCACATGACGGCCCGCCGCTTGTCACAACTCCCTCCAACCTAGTAGTTTGAGTGCATGCAAATGCAAGTAGATAAATAGAGACCAGCTCAGTGGGAAGGTAACAGCGTTCTATGTCTAAGTCGCACTGGCCATGTGACCACGGAAGATTGTAACTCTAATAAAACTGATATGAATCAAGAAGCTGAACTGGAATTATTAACAGGAAACTCCTGGCGAGAGGAGTGGTGGGTCATGCACAAGGGTAGCCTGAATGCTGACCACACTTATGTTAGCAGACAAGGTGGTCTACAGAATACCCTCTTCAGCATACTATCATTTCTTCTAGGCATTTTAATTACTTTGTGACTCCACATAATAGTTATCCAGAGAAATTGTTGAAAAATGGCCATAAGAATTGCTTTGTGTTTGGTTGAGAAGTGGCTCATCACAAAAAAAGGAGTCAGGTTCTGGGATTTTTTGAGACCTGGTATCTCTGTGAATGGTAGTGACTGATAAGCACAAGAGGGTGTCTTGTAGAACATATTGACTGCTCCTCTTGGTGTTGTCAACATTCAGCTGCCCTTTGCTATGTAAAATTTTATAACAATGTGGCTGTATTTCCCTTTTGAGGGTCCACATTTGAGGCCCTGAAATCTTGATTTCTTCAAAATAATTAAAAGTGTGTAGGACCAAACATCTTTCAAGATAAGCAGGATAAGTATTTTCTATTTATGTGCCATATATTAAATCTGGGGACATTCAGGGTCACCTATTTCTGATCAGGAAGGCAAAACAGGTTCTTTTTAAATCCTTTTCCCAAACTTCCCCAAACATTTTTGCTTTTTTAAAAATTATTCATTTTTCATTAGGTAACCTCCCCAAATTTGTTACAGAGCAAGAGCAGACTATCTACTACAACAGTGCCAAATTTGGTACTGATTTGTTGTTTAAATGTTAGAATATTTTGTTTGGGCCCCCTTTTATAGAACTTCCTTATAGAATGTTGATTTGCTCTACCAATATAAAATCATTGCTGCAGTCTCATGGAGCAATAATATACCAAATATACCTTCTGGTTTCATTTCTTCTTTCTTGTACGTTTAATAAAGACACCTACAACAGTGCCATATGCTTCAGTGCTGTTGAGTACACAAGACATTTCAAATACGCCTAGAATTTTCAAAGTGCCTACAGGAATGAGACTGAAGATGTGAGATGAGGGGCAGGGCATGCCTGCCAACCGGATGGATCAGTAATTTGACTCAACAGAAGGCAGCTTCCAAGATTTGCTCTGCATCTCCATTTTTCTTTATCCTTTTAAAATACAATGCCAAATAGTGATGAAAAACACACTTCCATACTAAAGCAAAGAGGCTAACATTCTTCAAACGATAATTTGTAGAGGTACATAAGGAGGGAGGGTAGAATAATGGAGATCTAAAAATGCACTGTACAGTATATAAAATACTTGGCCACTGTGAAATAAGAGGCAGTTTGAAACGTGATTGTGGAGCCACCTTCCCACATGGAAATCAATTCAGAAGCCACATTGCATAGAACAGCGCTGCTCTCTTTTACTTATATCTAGACATGGGGGCGAATATAAAAACAAATATCCCTGATTTGTCAGATATTCATTGCTTTGTATTCTTGGGGTCCAGAGACCCCGATGAATACAAAGTAACAAATATAACCCTTTTATATTCGTCCCTTCATTCCCCATCTGCTTAGGCCCCCAGCAGATCAGCTGTTCTTCAGGGTCATAAGCAGAGAGGGATTTTCCCTTAGGGTGGCTTGCTAAAGCCTGCCCAAAGGGGATCACACCCCCAGGGCTGGGGGATGGCTCAGTTCCCCCTTTTCGGAAGAGGAGGGACGGGATCAAAGCAATCCTAAAGACAGCAGAGTTGGGGATTGCTTTTATCTGTTTCCTCCTCTTCTTACACCACACGGCATAGGAAGGCTGTGGGGGATGGGGCTTTATATATAGGGGCTGTTTGAAAGAAATGTCCCTGTTACATACAGCACTGGTGTTACCTGTCTGTCATGGGTTTGGAGGGAAAGTTCCATCCTATGGGGAGTGTAAGGCGGGACATCAGGAGGAGGGGCTGTACTGTATAAATATGTGTGGAGCGTGTGTGGTGAGGAAGATGCTGAGAGACACTGAGAGACACTGGGTTGTGACGAAGCAGCAGCTGGGAAGAAGAAGCTGTTGTGGGAGTCTGTGTGTCAGACAGGGTACTACTGTGTGTCAGAGTACCAACCTGCTAGGTTCAGGTGTCTGTTGGTTAGCCAGAACTGATAGGTTCAGGGTCTGTGCTTCAAGTTAAGGTTCTGTGTGAACCAAACTGTGTGTATGTATGAGTGAAACTAAGCCACGTTACTTTATCTGATTCACCTGATTGTTTTATTTTTTCCTGTGTGTTGTTGTAAATAAACCTTATTCTTTTTATTGTTTAAAAATCCATCCCTGGTCTGTGTGACTTCTTATAGGGAATGGTTGGTGGCAGCTTAGTGTAACTGTGTGACATATCCCAGTAGGTCTGGGTTTGTCACAGTCCCGACAAACCAACAAATTGATTCATGGTTCGTCGGGCCACTGGGAGGCAATTTCTGATTTGACTACTCATGAACCAAGATGGCGCTTCATCCTCATCTCTATTTATATCCACAAAGAGATGGGAAGAGGCGCGCACGTCAGATTGGTCATGGACATAAGAGTTGCAAGGGGCCTATAAGGCCATAAAGTTCAACCCCCTTCTCAATGTAGGAATCCAAATCAGAGCAGATCTGACAGATGGTTGTCCAATTTTCTCTTCAACGCCTCCAGTGTTAGAGCACTCACCACCTCCCGAGGTAATTGTTTCCATTGTCACACTACTCCATCAATTGGGAAGTGTTTCCTGATATTCAGCCTAAATCTGGCTTCCTGTAGGTTGAGTCCATTATTTTATGTCCTGCAATCTGGGATGATCAAGAACAGATCCTACCCTGCTTCTAAACGATTATCTTTCAAGTATCTGAAAAGTGCTTTCATATCTCTCCTCATTCTTTTTTTCTCAAGGGTAGACACAAAGATCCTTCATAATGATGTGGCACTCAAGATCTCCCTAATGGCCTTCGCGTTTGGGGGAGGGTCTGTGTAGACCAGTGGTTCTTAACCTGGGCGATAATGCCCCCCAGGGGGCGATTTCATTTTTCAGGGGGGCGGTAGAACGAAAAGGGGCGGCGTGAGGGCGCTGGCGCAGAAGGGGGCGGTAGGGGGCGCTGGAGCAAGCCAAACCTGTGAAGATGGCTGCAGCCTTTTTACAATGTGCATGAATATATATTTTCCTCCTATCTTAATTTAGTTTCAGAGTTTTTGTCTTGAAATTTTTAGTTCCTGCATTTTATGCCCTTTTTATATTTCTTTTTTAGTCTTAAAACTCGCTTGCAACTAAATCATTAAATGTTACTTTTTGGGGGCATTTCATTTTCTTGGAATTGAATTTTGTTTTCAGGGGTCATTGGATTTAAGTGTCTTAAACAAACAAACAAACAAACAAACAAATAAATAAATAAGATATAATAAGAAATAAGAGGGGGGCGATGATAACTTCCTCAATGGCTCAAGGGGGCGTTTCTTTCAAAAAGGTTAAGAACCACTGATGTAGACCAAAAACATCCTTTGTTTTTGCACTTGTTTATGTAATTGATTTTTTAAATTTAAATAATCAAAACATCAATTTTAAAAAAATGTCATTTAAATCATGATTTCAATTGATTCCATCCTGCTCTGGTCCAAAAAAGAACAAAATGATCAGACTGGGAGGAACAAAACAAAGAAAATGTGAACTATTAATAGCCTTAAATCCCAGTTGAAGAAAGCATGCAAGAACAGTTTGCCCCTATTTTAAGCTTGTTACCTTGTTTTATTTATTTATTTATTTATT